CCTTGGATTTGGTCGGTGAGTCCAACCTGGTGGGGGAGGGAAGGGGAGCGTTAGAGCAGACAGGGGGGCCCTGGTAGCCCACCCTGCTACCTGAGAGACCACCCTTCTCCTGCCCTGGACCTGTGCTACCCCCAGGGCCCCTGCCTGCAGCTCCCTATCCCTCACCGTGTGTTCTGGCTGCGGTGCTTGTAGATGTACAGCAGGAAGGCCAGCGCTGTGATGGCGAAGAGCACCCCGAAGAGCACAGCCAGCACGTCCCCTGCAAGCCAAGCACAGGCATGTTAACGCTGGGGGTGGGAACCTGTGGCGACCAGCCAAAGGAGATGGGGCAAGGCTGGAACAGGCTGGTAGGTCAAAGGCTCAGCCTCGTCTGAGCATGCTCACCTGCATGAAATGAAGAGCTGGAGTGTCCTGCAAAGGAGACAAAGAGGGGAGGATGAGAGCCAGTTGCACAGATGCTTGAGCAGCCCTGCAAACCCACCACGGCTGTCTGCTCCCCAGCACGTGGGTACCAGGCAGGTAAACCCTCCAGCCACCTCCCCCTCACCTACCTGCTGCTGCTGGGCCATCACCATCTGGAAGAGAGACAACAGAGTTAGAGGTTGCCCGAGGTGTTTGGGGAGGAAAGTGTCAAGCTTGGAGGGCCTCAGGCCATGCTGCCAAAGCTGGGCTGCCTGCAAGGCTCCCCATCACCTGTGGGCAGGCAGAGGGGGAGATCTGCCAGGAGCTGCAGGAAGCCTAGGCCTGACACACCACCAGAAGCATCAAGGGACGGGGGAGGGATCCCTGAACAACAATCCACACAAAAGCTTCGCTGAGTCAAGCCAGAAACCCCATTGCTGCCACCACTGCCCAGGAAGCAGGCGGGCAGGGTGCTGAGCAATGCCGCACCCCATGAGTGCGCCACACCCCACAGAAGAGAGGCATGCGGGGACCCCAGCAGGCAGCAATCGGGGACAGTTGCCTGCGGCGAGATGGCGAGCAGCTCGCCGGGAGGAGGCAGCTGGCCCTTGCTGGCGGGGCAGCCTGCACAGGGATGTCTCCGTGGCCCTACATGCTGGGCGGGAGCTGTGCCGGGCAAATATTTACCCAGTGTGACAGCATGGCTTTTAAACAGCTGCATTATCATCTGTACACGGCTCGGGTATCGTGCACAGAGTGGCACTATCTGCGAGCTGTATCTCGCAGCCACAGCGGGGGAGCTGCCGCCGGGGACAGAAGCAGCTCTCCCGAACTGGGGAAAGATCAACAAGCGTGGGTGCAGGAGGTGCAGCTGCAAGCAAAGCGAGACGTGACCCCACCGCACTCCATCACAGCAGCCCCAGGGCTGAAGCAGGCAGTTACCAGCACAGGGGTGGGGAGAAAACCCCAACAACCCCCCAGTGCAGGGGAGGGGACACGTAACCTCCGCTGGGAGTACTGGGACAGTGTTCTGGCACTCCAGGAATAATGAGTTTGTGGCTTTGTTACAGCAGGGGTTGTGGATAGAAATAGCAAATATAAGAAAAAAGGTGAGCTGGGCAACACCCCCCTCACCCCAGCGTCGGTGGCTGGAGGGTTTGGAACAGCTGTTGCAAGAAAGTGGTAAAAGAAAGGCTTGGAGGTAAATGGAAAATATGATAAAGTATCTAAGAGGTTTACCAAAGATAGAGCATGCCAGCCTAACCCGATATCCTTCTTTGATAAGCAATATTCTAAACAAAGAAAAAGCGGTAGATTTTATCTCTCCCGCCTTCAGTGAAGCATTTGATGCAGTGCCACATGGGAAACTGCTATCCAGGCTGAAGACCACGGTGATTAAAAGTCTGAGGCCATTAGCGAGCTGGCTGCAGGTGGGATGGTGAAGGGAAGTGCCTTGCACCGCAGCATGTGGTTAGGGAGGCATTGCCCAAGGGTCTGGGACCGAGCCCACGCGCTGTTTCTGTTAGTCACCTTGACACAAGGTGTAGGAAATGCCATCAAAACCAGAAAGGGAACAGGATGTTGGACAGAAAAAACCCGGTGACCTCAGCAGCAACGGGTAAAAACTCAGTGATGCAGAGTGATAGTCATACCTGAGGATTAACAGGAATTTCTGCTGATCACTGGAAACCACCAACACAAGAAAGGCCTTCGAGGACAAACTGACGATGGGCAAACAGGGATGCCGCAGGCAGGAGACCCTGTGCCTGGCCAGGATGGCCGTGTGGCCCCGCTTCGGGAGGGGTGCCCTGCACTGCCCTTCACGCAGGGTTTGGTGGTGGGGTGCTCGCCGCAAGCCTGTATCTCTGCAGCTCATACAGAATTTAGCTATTGCGTTTGGGGATGAAACGGCTAGCTGGGATGCAGGACCTGTCTGTTTGGCCTTGACCATACATCCCCTAGTCCTACTACTGTTATTTCTGTAAGACCAAGAATTAAATAGCTCCAAGAAACCGACGTTCGCCAGGCAGGGTTAGAAAAGCACAGAAATGAGGGCGAGCAGACCGGTGCTGCCCTGCCGGACAGGGCTAATGCGTCCAAACGCTGTGTTTCTGTAACAGATGCAAAGCCCTGACTCCAGCTCCTCGCTCCATCTCTGCATCCCCGCAGCTGGGTGCAGCCTGAGCGTGCTCACACGCTCCTTACCAGAAGGCAGCTGCTTTGTCGAAGAGAGGGTGGTCTGGAAACTCGCCAGCACCTGTCGCCCATGCAAGTCCTGCACCAGCCGGTAATTGTTCTGCAGAGGTTTGTTGTCATCGTTTCTCAGGCTTCTCACCAGCATTAACATCTGGAAGAAGAATGACGTGAGCAGAGCGGGATGCATCCCTCCTTGGGGAGCTAGGCGACCCCCAGGCGACAGGCACGGACGGTGCATGCTAGCAGGGACCCAGTTTGGAGCTCACTACTGACAGACCTGGTCATGAGAGAGCATCATGGTCTGGTTGAAGATTGTCCACTTCACTGTCTGGTAGCAGGGAGGAGTGGTCAGAGAGCCGTTGTAGTGGAAGTAGTGTTTTAGGTTGTCGGGCAACAGACCTGCAATATTGAATCCGGGCACCAAGACTTCCTTGCCTGGGAGAAGAAACACCATAGGACTCAGAACGGGGCATCCCCTTGGAGGGCAACAAGCAGGACCAGCATGGATATTACAGGCAACCTGGCACTGCCAGTGTCCACACTGCTGCCACCAGAGAATGAACAGTGGGTTTGTCCTGGAGCCAGGGGAAAGCACGTGCGAGCAGGGGGCACCTTGGAGAGCTGTTTTGTACAAGCTGAGCAACGCTCCCTTTCTCGCATACGTGCAGCACACGCCAGCTCCAGCCTCTCTGTGCCCTGCAGCAGTTTTCTCTGCTGGGCTGCAGTGCCTGAGACAAGTATGAGGTGGGAGAGGGCCTTACCTTCTCTTTGTATACTGTGCAGATGCTCAAGTATTTCCTGATAGTATGGGTTCTCCCTTGGCCCAACCTGCAACACAGAGACCCCACAGGAATGACAAGGACAGGGGCCGAACGGTGACGGCTGTGCCAGCAGCAAGGTATCGCTCCCTGTGAGAGGCACCCTATGCCAGTGACCCCTCCTCCTGTCAGGGCTGCTCTGCCCTCTGCACTGCCCTCTCTCCTTCCCTTTCTCCCCAGGAGCATTTGCACCTTTGCCAGTCCCCAAAACTCTGCCTGACTCTGCCCACCCTTCTCCTGCCACTATCCTTCTGGTCTATGGGACTCACCTCCAGGAAGGCTCCCAGTACGGCCAGGCCATCAGGGTGGACCATTGCCTCCTTAAAGCTGTCGTACTTGGTGTTGTAGTGGACCACGTGGATCTGGAAGGGAAACGTGCAACCCCGATGCAGGACAGGCACCTCCGGAGGGTGCTTACCCCCACAGGGCTCCAGCCTGACGAAGCAAGGGGCAGAGAGGTGCAACCATGATGAGCACCTCTCCTAGGAGAGGAATATGCTGGTGGGAGTGAGAATATACGCTGCTGCAAAGCAGCAAGCGTGAAGGTCTGCTTGCAGGAACTTCCCCAGTCAGGGACAGCAAGCCAGCACTCTGCCCTAGATACCTGGGGGCGTATGGCAGAACCAGGCTTGGTTTGAGGACAACAGCTAGAGAAGGAGGGATAAAACCAGATGGGAGCTGGCAGAGCAGGAGGACAGTGTGTACAGGGTAAACAGTCCCTGCAGCTTCCAAAGCAGGCTGCTCACAGCTGCCCAGGGAGCTCGCTCCCTCAGCCCAGGGACCCCCGCAGCTCCTGCTCCGTCAGCCCAGGACCGGGCTGCAGCGTGGAGACGGGCTGCAGTGCTCACAGGCGGCCAGCCCCAGCCCAGCTGCAGGCAGAGTGTCCTGGAGGGTGGTCTGCTCCTTGCCCCCGCACCGCAGCCTGCAGCGTGAGTCTGGTTCAGCGCCAGAGCGTGGCCTCCTGCACTGAACTCTGTAGCTGCAGAGCTGCCTAGGGAGCAGGGATCCTGGCTAGGGCTCATCCAGTGACAGCCAGAGCCATGGGCTAGGAGCAAGACAGCACTCCAGCATCTTCCCTGCCCAGCACCAGGAGAAGAGAGGATACATCCACCGCCATGAAGGTTCCCTTACCTCCGCAAGAAAGCGGCGCCTGTTGACGGTGTGCTCTGAGCCAGGTCCCAACGGGGAGCCCCAGTGCAGGTGCAGCTGCACGGCTCGGTACTGCTGGGCATAGCCACCAGTGATGGCCAGTGACCCGGGCAGCTCGAGGACAACTGCAGAGGCAGAAGGAAGGGGTTGGTCAGTGAAATACAAACCCCAGTCCACCCCACAGGTATGCAGAGGAAATGTCTCAAAGGAAAGCATCACCCTGGGCTTGTGGGAATTGGTCACAAGCAACAAACTTGCTTTCCATCTTTCATGAGGCTATGGGCAAGTCAAGACCTTGAGCTGAGCCAGTGTGTCGAGTCTCAATTTTTGACTTCAGACTGTAGGACACCCCAGAAAACACATCAGCTTAAAAATCAGCTGCTACAAAAATGCTGGAAAGTGAAGAGACCCTCTGCAGACTCCCAGGGGCCAGCTCCAAGCCAAATGTTATCCAACAATTTATTCAGTAAGTGAGAATAATATGAAGAGACTGTGGACGAAATTCAAGGAGAAAGAGATTGGCAGGGTGGTGAATACCTACGGGAGCAGAGCAGTTGGACAGAGAGCTGCAGTGCCTGGCAAGCTGGGACCTTTCAAATAAAGCAGCCTGTGAGTGCCTGACAGTGCTGGAGCTGGCGGCATGGGAGCATGACATCTTTTGAAAGCATTTAGAGCCAAGATTTTGTGCCTCTTTAGGCATGGTAAATGCACCCTTGGTTTTGCTTTTTACTTTAATGTGGTTTATCCAGCTATCTTGGGCTCATGCAGCAGTGTGACAAATCTAAAAGCAGAGTTACCTGGACACACAGGAAAAGTATCAGGAGCATCCCTGGACCCCGAGAAAGGCTGTCCTGTCCTTCTAAGCACCTTTCCCTCATTTTTAGTATCAACTTCTTTCTTTCCTCCTTCTTTATAGGTGAAATGTCCCTTAGTCACATCACCGAGCTCGGGCACAGATTCGGGATTAACTACGTAACAGGGCTATGATGAGTCATTTGTCCTCTCCTGTGTTCCCCGACACTGGGTTCAGAGATACAAAACTCAAATACGGGAAGTGGAACACTGCTCCCTTCCTGGGAATTTATCTGCTTTTACATTTCTTCTGTATATCTAAATCATTGTGCTTTTACTAGCTACCTGAGTCATTTTCAGGCCCTTAAAAAAGCTTACACACTTTATATTACAAACAGGAGGTACTGTACAAATGTCCTACTGGACTTGCAACTTTTTATTTATTTATGGCTTTTCATAAAGCAGACTGGTAGTTACCAGAGCAAAAAAAGGCATCTTATAAGCAAGTGAGAAACTACTACCCCCCACCACCCCAGTGAAAATGCTCTGGCTGCTTTTCTAAACACCAAGCAACACCAGATGCCAGGGTGTCTAAAATAGCAACGACTGAGCTCAACTAGTTTAACTCTGCAGGCATGCTAGGGCAGGAGGCCCTAATATAAAGCCCTGTGCATGCACCACGTGGCTGATCTGACCATGCACAGCGAGTCTGACCTGTCGAGTTTGCTGTATACACAGGTCAGCTCCATCTCGCTAGCTACCAGGGCAAGGAGGTGCCTTATCGCCCCGTCAGCAAGTTTTTAAGTCCCTTTCTCAACCACCTTTTCTTAGCTCGGGGACTGGCAGACACCAGCGTGCACAAAACATTCTGCTTGGCCCCAGAAAAAGCTGGTAGCAACCAGGACCCACCATCCCCAGCTGTGGGATGGTGAGCAGGAAGGAGATGTGTTTTTCCTCCATATCTGGCATGGTGAGACTGATACTAAAATAATGTGAGTTCTGTCCAGACTTTCCAAAAACCATTCTAAAACTGAAGAAGGGAAACAAAAAACCTGTAAAAATTTCTTCAGCTCTTGAGATAGCATCCTGAAGAAGACTTAAAGAAGTTGGCCAACGTTGTGTCCAAAAAGACCAAGAGCTAGATACCTTAAAGACTAAGTCACATCAGAGACTGCATAGTCATTTGCAAGTGAAATGCAGGGGAGGAACCAGTGGCTGCAAACCTGCATCAGAAATACCAGGGATACATTGTCAATGGAAATACGGGTTTTAACAAATTCCTGGAGCCCGCTCCCAAAGGCAGCGAGTGGAAACTTTTCCTGGTTTATCCTCTCCAGCCAGGAAAGCACAGGAACCTGTAAAGGCTCAGCAACCTGACGCTTCCCTTTTGGCCTTGAAGGCAACATGACTGCAGCCTGCAAGAGAAGCCCCTTTCCAGAGCCCAAGAAGGGTATCAGAGAAGCCCACTCCTGCTGGGAGAGGCTGTGCGGGCTCTGCTTGTGCTCCAGCCTCTGCCTGTGCCTCTGCACCCACCTGTGTGCCCGTTGTTCCTCAGTGTGAGCTTCTGGTTGGCCGGCACGCTGTAGCCAGAAAGCTGGATCGGCCGCAGCTGGGGGCTGAAGATAGTCTTGGATGTGTCGATGTTGATGGGCGACTGCGCAGCACCTGCGCAATCCGGGTAGTCCAGACCCCAGTGCTCCTGGTCTGGAATGAGGAGGAAGGGAAGGAGTGCCAGTGAGATCACCCAGGCAAGGAGCCCTCCGGAAAGGAGGTTTGGGAGGTGGTGGGGAAGGAGACAAGCACAGGCTAAGGAATTAGCCATGCACATAAGCTTAGTTTCCATCAAGTTAGCTTGGGAGCAGCTCTGTGCCACCATGTGACGGCACGCAGCTGTATCAGGAAAGGTCTCTGAGCATGGTGAGCTGCCAGGAAAGTCTATTTTTGGGGTGTTTGGGAAGAGTGCAAGAAGATCATTTACAAGTGGACTTGGCAAGCTGAGGAGCTGCTGCTCTGCAGCTCATCACACGCTTGCCACCTTGCACAGCCTAGCCTCTGGCAGGTATCAACCCACCGCCTTGCTTGTGCTGCCACTTGAGCAAGATGCCACTAGGATCACACAAGCCCAGGGCCACAGGTCTGATGGGTTCCCAGATGTTAGCTGCACTGGTACACATGGGTGAGCTGCTTAAATTGCCACCTCTCCCCAGCGGGATAAGCATGGCTGATGCCCCAGAAACCTCCCCTTGCACTGCAAGGTGCTGCTCCTAGCACATCTTGGGCCAGTGGAAACCCAGGCTCATCTACAGCCCAGCCTCTCACAGGACCCCTGTAGAGATGGAGCAGGGCTTTAGCAGGTCTGAGCCAGGCCCTGGTCCCGAGCAAAGTGACAGTGCTGGGGCCTGACCCACCTCCACAGCAGTAGGGGGTGTGTTTGTGCTACCACTGCCGTGATGCCCATCATGGGTGCTGTGGAGAAGCCCCCCAAGCCAGGATGGAAGGGCAGGGCCGGGCAGGATGGGGAGAGAGGGTGACAGAGGACAGAGATGAGGACACAAGGTAATCCCTGGGCCGGTCAAAGTCCCAGCACAGGCTGCAAGTCCAGCCTGGAGAGCCCAGCCTGTTTCTCTGCTTGGCACAGGATCAGGGGGCACAGAATCCAGAGGGGCATCCCCAAACACCCAGGGGGCTGGGGAAACGCTCAGCGGAGCCTCTGCTTCCTGCTCAAATCGGAGAAACTCCCAGCTCTTCAGCCCATCCATGACCAGGTTCAGGCACCACTGAAGCATCAGTGGTGAAGGGAAAGGTAAGCATGGAGTGCGCACAGGAGTCCTGTAATCATTAACCACAGCTGGCTCAGGCCCAGTCTGCCGAGTGGTAGGAAAAAAGCAGGGTATTTACCTTCATAGCTCCAGTGACTGTGGCCAGGACCTTGAGGCCATCTGCTGGGATAGGCTAGATTAAATAAGAATTTGTCCAGCAGTATTTTATTACTCAATGTTCAGACTTAAACAAGTGGAAAAAAAAAAAGAAGAGAAAAAGCCACATGAATGGAAGGGAAAGGTTGGCAGCAAACACACCTCTGTCAGGCAGCACTCCCAGCCACAGGTCTCTGGGCTCCCACTGCCTTCAATCCCCCTCGCTGCCTGCACTCTCCCACTCCTCCCACTGTCCCGGCAAGGGGGATGCTCCCAGAGGGCACTGCCTCCCCTGAGCACGGCCAGGTCTCCTGCAGTTGTTGGCCAGAGGGAAAACCCCAGGGCTTGACGCCTTTTTATCATCCTTATAATGGAAAAAATCAGAGATACTGGCTTCCGTCACTGACCAGCTGTACCAGTGCTGTTGAAATTACTGTGGAGCAGCCAAAACCTCCCGCTGTCCCAAGACAAAGTACTTAACGAGGCAGGTCTGCAGCCTCCCTGCTCAGGCTGCATACGCAAGAGAACTGTGCTGGTGGCACTCCTGCGATGCTGGAGGGGGTGAGGTTAGAGCAGTTCCCACACCACAAGGAGTTTGGGCAGTGAGAGCCATTGCACCGCACAGGCATCCTCCTTCCACTGGGGAAAGCAGCCTTGCGACTCACAGCAGAGGAAGCAAATGAGCACCAGAACCTTGTCCTCCTCATCAGCAAGCGCCCCTGCCACGGGTGCAGCCTGCCACAGGAAAACGTGCTAGACCAAGCACCCACCCTGCCCCAACTCACCCACCACGGATATCCCCACGCAGATGTGTCCTACCATTCACAAACCCCTTCCTTAGGAAAAGGAAGGAAGATGGGGGAGTGGGTGCCAGGACCTCTGCACATCCCATGTCACCCATGGGAGCACAGTAGCCATGGCAGGGCTGGATGTAGCCCGGTGTACCCTGAGCCTCCCACAGCTCAGGGTGTTCCCTGTGTGCAGATCTAGAGGGAGCAAAGCCCTCCTGGGGCATGTCCTGAGGGTACCACAGTGCTCCACACACCAGCCCTTGCAGAATCTCTCTCCTCCAGAGCTGCCAGCAAACCCCAGATCCCCGGCATGTCACTATCGCTGGACTTAGAGGTGCACAGAGCCTCTCCTCAGATGCACCCGACCAAACACCTCGGCTACTACCAGCCCTTCTGCATGCCACCAGCTCCAAGCAAAGGAATGTGGAGCTTGGATGTGCCTCAAGCAGAGAAACATGTCCCATAAGGATTATGCCCCTGCCCTGACTGGCAGGACAGGTAATTCACAGGCTCCTTCACTGACTTGTTCTTACGAGCATGCTCATCACTGAAGACAGGCTGTTGGCACATCCCAGCCCACGAGGGCAGGAACAGAAGGTGCCAGGTTAGGACAGGCTTGGGGTGAAGGGGTGCATGAACCCAGAAGCAAGGGGAAGTATCTCCACCCACTTGCAGGACTTGGGGGTACTGGGGGATGAAAAGCTGGACATGAGCCAACAGGATGCACTGGCAGCCCAGAAAGCCAAACGTATCCTGGGCTGTATCCAGGGCAGTGTGGCCAGCAAGTCGAGGGAGGGGATTCTCCCCATCTACTCTGCTCTCGTGAGACCCTGTCCAGCTCTGAGGACCCCAACATAAGGACATGGACCTGTTGGCGCGAGTCCAGAGGAAGCCACGAAGATGCTCCGAGGGCTGGAGCACCTCTGCTATGGGGACAGGCTGGGAGAGTGGGGCTTGTTCTGCCTGGAGAAGAGAAGGCTCCGGGGAGACCTTGTAGCCCCTTCAGGTACTGGAAGGTGCTACAAGGAAGCTGGGGGGGACTTTTTACAAGGGTCTGTAGTGACAGGACAAGGGGTAATGGGTTTAAATTGAAAGTGGGGAGGTTTAGAAGAAATTCTTCCTGGAGAGGATGGTGAGGCACTGGAAGAGGTTTCCCAGAGAAGCTGTGAATGCCCCATCCCTGGGAATGTTCAAGGCCAGGCTGGACGAGGCTTTGAGCAACCTGGTCTAGTGGAAGGTGTCCCTGCCCATGGCACGGGGGTGGAACCCCGGGGGTCTTGAGGGCCCTTCCAACCCAAACCATTCTGTGATTCCACCAGCTCCCCAGGGTGCAAGGACAGGGAAGAGCATTTAGTTGTTGCAGTCCAGTTCCGATACAATCTCTGCCCCGTGGCATGGCCGAATGCCTGCCAGGCTGGCTGGGATGCAGGAGGGGCTCAGCAGGCGCTGCTCTAGTCCCAGTGACAACAGCTATCGACAGCCACTTGCTATTAATAGGAGTGGATTCCAGCTCAGGGGTGAGAAAGGAAGAAGCATGCTTTCCCAGGCCCAGATGTCCTATGTGAGGCCCCAAGCCCAGCGGGATCCTGCCTTCCTCTCAGCGAGGATCCAGGCATGGTCACTGCTGGAGGCCTTTGGTGCAGCTGCTGCCCTGGAGAACGGATGGCCATGGCAAAACCAGGCTAGGAAGGGCCGGAGGGTGCTTAGGGGCACCAGGCATTGCAGAGATGGGAACAGCCCTCAGGGATCCCTCCAGCATTGCTGGTAACTTATCCCTCCAGCACTTCTGACACTCAGGAGCGATGCTGAGGTACTCCCAAAGGCGTATGAAGAAGAGGTAGCAAGCAGAAGTCTGGGCAAGCCATGGCGACCTTTGTCGAGCAGAAACATGCGTGCCCCAGGACAGTCTGCAGTGCTTTCTCCATGCCCGCTTGCACAGCACTGCCCTGGGATGCTCCTGGCTGTGATACAGCAAGCTGAGATTCATCCTGCCCACCTTGCTCACACACAGCTAACCTGCTCCTTTCCCAGACACGGATTATGCACCAAAATCCAGAATGCACCAACCCTCCTCTAGAAACACCCCATATCTTACCCCACCATGGCCCTGCTCTCCTGCCCCACTATCTACTCAGGGTGCTCAGAGTTTGCACACAAGAGCCACGTTTGCTGCTTCCTAGGCAGGATTCCTCTCCTGCAGCACGAGGGGCTCCACAGCCCCCACGAGGGGCACTCGCCTGGGGGCAGTCCTGCTGCGGGGGCAGCACAGCAGCACAGGGTTGGCATGCGATGCTTTGGCTCGCTGCACATGCCTCAACCGGCACGGCCCATCCCGGCACCCCGCTTTCTGCTCACCTCCAGGGACTCTGCCTTGACAGAAAGCTACTCAAACATCGTAATGTAGATTGAGCAATAGCACCGTGCTGGCACCTGCCCTGCTGTGTCAGCACCGTGCCACCCACCCCAGGCTCCCACGGCCCCCCGCACCCGTCTGTTCCCACAACCAAGGGGCTCTGGACCCTCCTCACAGCCGCCCACCAGCTCAGCAGGTTTGAACACCCCAAAGGCCGCAGCTGCATGCAGGAGACAGTGCAAT